CGTCTAAAACAAATACCTCTTGGCGTTACCTGGCTGAACATCTTTTCGTTTTCCTCCAGATCTCTAAACAAAATTCTTCCGACATGGTTTCGCACTCAATTCATGAGCTCCGGCTTTCATTACTTTAGTATCGATATTCTTCTTGTAAAGAAGAAAAAAAATGGGGCAACGTTCCATGGAATTGCCTTATGTACTACTTTTGAGACACTGTTTTTCATCATATTATTGCAAGCTTACCTGTATGCATTAACCCTCCATCCCCTCTCCCCCCCCCCACACACACATAAACACACGCACACCTTGTCCCCCAAAAGTGTCACTTTTCCTTCACCTTTTTTCAGTATGGCAATATGATAACGTCACTATTGCATAAATGAATGTCCGCTCAGCACTCGTTTGGAAAGAAATAAGCAAAATGAAATGTTTATAAAACGTACAGATTAATATAATTAAATGTAAGCTTTCACCCTCCCCCATTTCTCTCTTCTCCCTCTATCTCTTGGGGGGGGGGGGGGTATATCGATACTCAAGCTATAGGGATTAAAATGAATTAAAATTGCGTCATCGTAGTGAAATACGGTGCTCGTCAAAACAATGAAATCGAAGAAAGTGACATTTTCCCGCCCGTTGAACAAATTCAATCAATTTTTGTTTGTTTGATTTGGGCTCAACACCTTTAACATCCATTTGGATATACATGTCAGTTTTGTTTTACAGAAAAAATAACTCTGGTTAAAGGGATACAATTTGTAAATGTGTAGTTTTCATCAGGGACACTCGAGCTGTAGGAGTCACCAAACTTTGTCGTTCATTTTCTCGCTTATTTTACTTCTGACACCATGCGAATCCCACCTTCTTCGATTGCAAATATCTCGGAAAACTAGCATCAGAGGAAAACTAGCGAGAAAATGGGGGTCAAAGAAAGTTTCAGTTCAAGAACAGGATATCTTCGAAATTTAAAGTGCAGAATATTCAGGCGTGTTCATGCAATGAAATTATAATAGCAACAAGTCTAAGTTTTCAAACGCCGACTCATTCCCAAATCGTCCAGATTGCCTAAGGTTTTTAAAACTGTTCGCCTATCTTTTACTATTAATGGTATAATGAGTATTTTAGACGTTAGAAATCTGATTGTGACACCTGCAAGCCCTAAACAATCTACTTTCCAGTTTTAATTACAAATTATCCAGCAACAAACAACGAGCGACTGTATGCTCTGTCAAAACATGCTACCTCATTGGAAATTACAATTACAAATGCTCCGGCTTTTTGTGTAAAAGTTAGCGCAAAAAATATTTATTCAGGTACCTCTTCTCTGTCCATTCAAAGGAAGGGTTTAAATTGTTCCATTTTAACTTTTATTATGAATATAGGCGACTGTTCAGGTTTAACTGGACTGAATGATTGATTGTGAATGAATGTTTTGATCCAGTGAGCATTTAAGTAAATTTACATTAAACTTATTACAGACTTGACAAAGCAATTTCGGTCAACGTCATGATATAAAACCTACTGAAAACCATTACCAGAATAGAAGACTGCAAAAAAATCAAGTTTAAGTCTAAAACTTTAATGATGCATTTGACAATAATATTGCTTTCAATATTTTTGATCAAAGTAAAATTAGTTATTTTTCCGATTCGCCAATAGGGTATGCGATCCTTCGTTACTGACACCGAAAAGTGCAAGTTCAAAAACAGCACATTGCACCCTGATCAGGACGCATGTTATTTCAATAGGACATATTGGATTTTTCTACACCACAACAGCATTTTCCTTTTACCAAAACAAACACAAGGACGCAAACACGTCCAGATCAATCAGAAATAAAAGTTAGAAAGAACAAACATAAAAGTAAGGGTACGTCACGTTCTACTGCAGGAACCATAATTCAACAATATATAAAAGATTCGTAACAAGAGCCAATTGAGTAGTCTTTTGAAGCAGACTTAATTAATTTTCTTGAACTGGAAAAAAATAACAAGCTGCCTAGCAACAGCTAGACTGTTAGTTCTAAAGGTATTGCATGATCAAAAGGGGTGTTTTGAAAAAAAACAACCAACAACAACATGAAACAAAGTTATGAATTGCGACATCCAAACATCATAATTAGACCTCTGCCATGAACTGTTTGCACTGCTCTGCTCCGTGAGTTAGATTATTTCTTTCTGTGTGGGCCCATTCAAACGTATTGTCATATTGAGTGATTCCATGAGGCTCGATTACCACAATTTTGTGAAAATCTCACTATACTCACGAAGGGAGAGCCAGAGGTCATCCTTACGAAACAGATATCGGTGATCATGGTTCGTCACTTATTTATTGTCTACTTGTGGTCTGTGCAAAAAACCTGTATTGCCCTGTTCGAGTGCTCTTAGACAGTCGTTCATGGTCCGCATCTGTCTCTGTTGTCTTCTACTTTTACCTTTTACACTGACTGCATTATGTTTAAGGTCTATATGTCTATTCAAGTGCCCCAGAAATGCCATATTTTGTCTCTTCCTAACTTTTTTTTTAACGCATTAACGCCCACTAGTATATCCTGAACCCCCACCCCCAACCCACACACCCCACAGCACACGCGCACACACACACACACACACACACACACACACACACACACACACACACACACACACACACACACACACACACATTCACATTTATACTCACAAACAAGATATTATGGAGAATAAAAATAAACATTATATTACTTGAGTCAGTTGTGTCCTTTTTCTGCCTCTTCATAGCGTCTATGCGTAAAAGACTTGCAAAATTAGAAACGAGAATACGCTTATACAGCCCTTCATGTTTTACTTAAAACTGGGAAACTTAGTTAGAATAATAAAATGTTCCACCTCTCGTTCTTCCGCAGGGCTCCTTCATTTCATGTTTCTAGGGTGTGTGTGTTTTAAAATATTTCACAGTTGTTCATCACGTATATTGCTTCATCATCACAACGTTCCCCGAGGGAAGTGTTTGGATTCAGTGAAAGTGATCAAGTGTACATAAAAGAAAAAAACAAAACAAAACAAAACAAAACTAATTTTTAAAAAATGAAATAAAGGAAAACCTAGGACAAGAGGCAACATCGGAAAATAATTTGTTGATTCAGTACAATTATCATTTGTTCTAAAACTTTGACAAAGAAAAACAAAACAAAGAGAGGCGCGTAGTGCAAACAAAACAGTCTGGAGCTATTTAGACAGTCAAATCGAACATATTTGTGGAATCAATTACTCGCTCTGCGAAGGAGCCTTGAAAAAGGAGAGATGGAAAAAAAATGTACGGGTGCAAATAATAGCGCGTCCATCAAACGTAGAGGGGCGGCACTGTTTGCCAAGGCCGGTGAAAATACCGATATCTGTTACAGACCAGTGCCATTGACGCATTTTCAAGCGGGGAAACCATGTGGAAACACGCGATCTCTGCGGTTGGGATTCTACTATATGGTTTGTATGCAGATATTCTTGAGATGCATTTTAAGCCTCACTGTACATCTCTTTAGTCTATCTATCTATCTATCTATCTATCTATCTATCAATGAAACTGTTTGCGCTTCCATCTTCTCTGGTTTCCGTAATTACAACATTTTCTTAAACCTTTTATACTATGTTATGAGCAATCCCAGCATCAGTTCTAAACGATCTTGGGGAGGACTGATGTTATTTGCGTTAAGTATTCTTGCATATATGATGCCCATTATTACAATGACTTAGTATGCAATTATCCACCAAGTTTCCTTGTGGTTTTCAGCTTTTGTTTTAAAAAATAAAATAGAAAGAAAAAAATATTGCCATGAAAGCGTGCAATTAGGGGGTAATTATTTTTTTTTTAAAACACAAACAAACAACAATAACAAATCAGTAGAAAACAGCTCTTGAAGGTTTAACATAGTAAAAGTACAGTAGCTATTAAAATGAACAATTTTTTACCTTATTTGGGCAAAACACAAAACTTTACTGCTAAAATCATTCAGCAAAAGGAGCCTGATCGTCTGGTTCCAGCTCCAGGAGGAGAGAAAGGTAAACATCATTCTTCTCACACCAGATTTACATTTTATCGCGCTGAAAAGGATTATGAGAAGTTTGAGGAGGACAAGTGCTTACGGGGTTGAGCAGGTGTTGTTCCAGCATTATTGGATTACACACTAAAAATTAAAAAAAACGGCCCTTACAAGATTGTAAGAAACTATTTTTTGTAAGTGGTTTACAGCGCTCGCAATTATATTATATTGTCAAATATAAGAGCGCGCGGGACACATTAAACATTTCAGTGGAATTTTGAACTTTTGGATCTTAAACGTGTGCAACTTGCACACGAAACCTCCGAGATTTTTCACCCTTATCCGAGAAGGCTAGGTGTTAGATCTTACCTTCCATAAGATCAGGGGTGAGGTTGAAAGAAAGAAGTAAGAAGAAGCCAAGGAGTAATAATAGAAAGGAGCCCAGATGAGGGGGGATAGGAGGTGAGGGGGCGAGGGCAGAAAATGGAGATGAAAGCATACGACAGGACTCTGTTAGAGAGTAGGAAAGGAGGTGAAAGGAAAACATTTTAGAGAAGAAAAGTACGGTACCCCCAACACCAATAGGAGCTTCAGCACGTATTTGTGGACTTCAATAAACTTTTGATAGAGTATGACAGTAGGGTTTTTGGACAAACGTGAATTTATACAACATCAACGCCAACTTTATTAAAGTCATAGAAAAGCTACACAACAAAGATACGAGCGCAGTTTTTTTCAACAACAACATTGGGGAATGGTTTCCAACAACAGTAGGAGTACGCCACGGTTGTCTGCTCTCACCCACTCTTTTCAACATTATTTTTGGAGAGGATCATGTCACATGCACTTGAAGATCTCGAAGGAACAGTCAGTATTAGGGGCAGAATGAATAATAACTTAGGCTTTGCATGACGACATAGACGGTCTTACGGGACAAGAGTAAAAACTAGTCAGCCTAGTTGACTGTCTTGAAAATACCTCTAAAGCATACAGCATGAAAATCAGCGCTGAAAAGACCAAACTGATGTCTAACAGTAGCAAGAACATTACAGGGGACATCCATGTCAACAACCAGGGGCTTGAGACTGTAGGCAACTTCAAATGCCTGGGTGCAATGGTGACAGACGAAGGATCAAAACCAGAAATAATCTCCAGAATAGCGCAAACCAGCAGCTAACACCAAGTTGAAAACCATCTGGAACGACAGAAATATCACCATTAGATCAAAGATCAGACTAATGCATTCCCTGGTCATGTCATTATTTCTGTGTGCATGTGAATACAGGACCTTAAATGTAGGCCTTGAAAGAAGGATCAAAGCTGTGGAAATGAGAAGCGTCCGAAATATTCTTGGTATCTCTTATAAAGATCACATCACACATGATGACAATGGATCAAACATAAAATTGGACCATATGCTGACCTTCTTGCTCTGGTCATGAAACGCAAACTGAAATGGCATGGTCACATCACCAGTCATCCGGCCTTGCCAAAATGATCCTGCAAGGCTTCATCCAGGGGAAAAGAAGCCGAGGCAGACCGAAGAAGAGTTGGGAGGACAACACCAAGGAATGGACAGGCCTGGAATTCTCAGACACGCTCAGGAAAGCTGAAGACCGGAAGGAGTGGAGGAAGCTGGTAGCCAAATCTTCAAAAGCGCCCCGACGGACATCCAGTCTACAGGATAGGTGAAGGTGAGTAGGTGAATCCGGATTCGAACCCGAGACCTATTGCATGAGAGTCGAACACCGTAACCTCTCGGCAACGAGAGCCCCAAAGAAAGGTCTAGGAGCTTATAAGCCGAAGGCTAACAAATTTATTGAGACAACATTTCCTCGTCAAAAACTTCTACTATTATTTCCTTTGTTTTGCTTTATTAAAAAAAAATTTTTTAACCTATAGAGTCTACGGAAACAACCAACAAATAAACCAACAGTTGAAACCCAATTTGAACAAGAGGTCCAAAGAATCAACACAGGAGCATACTACAGTGCTGTTCAATTTTTTGTAGAGAAATTGTCAACGCCAGGAGTATACAATTCAAAAATAGCCTTCATCTTCCCTGAGTTTATTATGCAAGGCCAATTTGTATTACAAAATTTGTTCTTGAATGTACGAATATTATTTATGTAATTGATTTTAAAGAAGTTTTGCCTGTTCGTTCTCTTATTTTGTTTGAAATGTTTAAAACTTGATGTTTAAAAGAAATTTAAGTTGATTTTCTGAATAATATTAACAATGTGATGTCCCCTTGGTTGAAATTGATTCATGGATGACCGAATTATTGCCCTTTAAATGGGTCTTCTATAATATTCTTAGACACTTGGTAGTATATGATATTGGTGCAGACACAAGATTTGTTAGCAATCTTGGAAACACTCACGGATCCAGAAACGTTGTTAAAGGTATATGCCTCTCCTTCATATTGTCTCCAACGATTTTCCTCAACTTTTTTGTTAAAATCTTTAAGAAGGCAACATCAATAATGGGCTGACAATTGTCTGTTGAGTACGGGGTAAAATAGTAAAAAAAAAAAAAAGTTTGATCAATGTCCTTCCTTTTTAATGGCCCAAGGAAGAACTATTGAATAAAAATATTTCTCGCAGTATTCATCTTCTATCCAACTTGGTGTTTGCTTTCACACACTAGCTTACTGAATGTAGACGATAGGTTTGCAAAAAGCCATTGTGATGTAACCTATGTTAACATGGCTTACTTTTCGACAAAGTGATACACACTTTGAGCAAATTAACTCATTAGAAGTATCGTATTCAATTATGAATTTCAATTCATCCCCAATTGGAAAATCAAAGTCATCAATCTCACCTGGGATAGCAGTCAATCTTCTATTAGAATATAAATGTAAATACAATTAAAGAAGAGTAGAATTCATATCCATTACAGAAAACTACAATAAACTTGTTTGTGTTCGTCGTTTAAGGGTGCGTTTATACAAAAGAAAATTATAATGTTGATCGTGCAAAGTCACCCCGATGTGAAATTTTTAAAAATCCGGGTTTACGGCACAAGGCATTTCCAAAACCTTGATGAAAATGTCACGTAAATAAACAATAATAGTGTTTTAATCCAAGTATTTTGCCGAAAAAGTAGAGAGTCTGTAAATGGGTGGGTTTTTTGCTGTGCTTCACATAATAAAGTAATATTGTGTCAAGTGGCATAATATTCATGAAATTGGCTTGTGACGAAATAATACGCGATAGAGAGAGAGAGAGAGAGAGAGAGAGAGAGAGAGAGAGAGAGAGAGAGAGAGAGAGAGAGAGAGAGAGAGAGAGAGAAGGTGGAGGAAACGCACCGGCATGTGTGTATGTGGTGGGGATACCCAGATTAGTACAAATATAATATTATGGATATTTAAAAAAGTAAACAGGCTAAACTATCTCCAGGACTGGATATATAATACGACAACAATAGTGCAAGAAGATCCCTGATGTCACCCCCCTCCCGCCCTTTATAACCTTTTTATGTGCCCTTTACCCTAAATCCATGTGAGTTCCCTCCCTTTTCTCTGTCTGTCTATCTGTCTGTCTGTCTGTCTGTCTGCCTGTCTGTCTGTCAGTCTGTCTGTTGGTCTGTCTGTCTGTTGGTCTGTCTGTGTCTTTCAGTCTTTCTCTCTTTTTATCTCCTTGTCTCTACCTCACCTCCTCTCTCTCTCTCTCTCTCTCTCTCTCTCTCTCTCTCTCTCTCTCTCTCTCTCTCTCTATGTATGAACGTTTGTTTGTTCTTCAATCTGAATTATAATTTTGTATAAAATCAATGCTGCCAAAGAACCAGATAAGCTGTTTTCAAAGCGGAGCACTTTGGTCCTGTGGAAAACCCCCAATAAATCAAGATGAAAGAAAGGCAGAGAAAATAAATAAGAACACCTAAAGTATTTCAAACGCCTCTCCAACCATTTTCTATATCTCCCTCTCTCTCTCTCTCTTTCTTTCTTTCTCTCTCTCTCTTTCTCTCTTTCTCTCTCTCCCTCTCTCTCTCTCTCTCTCTCTCTCTCTC